AAAAAAAAGGTGGGAAGATCTGTATCACAAGAGGAAAGAGGCTCAGTAAGCTAGATACTAAAGACAAGGAAAGTACAGAAGCAAAGTCCCAGCAAATGGAGAAAAAAGTGAAATGGAAAGGCATTAAGTTTTAGAGAAAGGTATCGACATACCTACTCCGAGATGTGATGGAAAGAAACGAGAATGGATGCACGCACAGATGCGCTGAAGGGAGGAAAAAAGTGAGGCTGCTCTTGCAAAATGGCTCTGCCCTCTCCATTGGTTTAAAGGGATCATTCACCTAGTACTTGCAGCTCTTCTGAGTAAGGCTAACATTTTGCTGGTTAAAAGCCATGTTTAAAAGGTTAACTGAAGAGTTATTACATACACAAATAACCTACAAGGTAATCGGGAATATGTCATCAACTTTTCAAATATGGTATTCGGGGGGTGGGGGGTGGGGGTGGGAATAGACTCTCAGGATCAACCCTAGCTTAGAGTTCACCCTTAAGCCATTCAGAGAAGACCAAACTCTAAAATCCATTCACCCTTCCCCTCCTTTGGCATTCCATTTCCAAAACAGAGAGAAAATCTGACAGCTGGCAGAGACAGGGGTCTGATGAACACAAAGACTCTCCACCTTTATTTTATTTGCCTGGCTAGGAGATGAGTGGGTGAGAAAGATGTGAATAAACTGATCACTTGAAATGTAGCTCCCTCGTGTTCTCCTTACTACCCTTTTCCATTGACTCATTCCTTCCCAGCTCCAGCCTCATGCACTAATTCTCAATGTTCCATGTGATTTGAGAGCTTTCACTGCCTGTTCCATGAGATTCTGCTCCACCAAGAAAAGCCCCAGACTCTTTTTTCACTGTCAAAATCTACTTCACATACATCATGTTCTTAACAACCAAACACAGAGCTCCCAATAAAACTGCTTAGCATCACTTAAGCATCTACACTGTATATGTCTGACTTTCTTTGTTGGTAACAAGGACAGTCTCTTCCTTAGGCAGCAAGACAATCTTACATTGTATCCAAAGTCAGTAACAAAAATGACAGGTCAATTGTAAAGAAGGTCATATGTGTACACGTGTGTGTATGTGTGTGTGTATGCATATATTCATTAGGAGTGAACAAAAAAATTATATAACTTTTATATATAAAATATCAATTTTGCTTTTCTCTTATGAATATTTCATTTCTATAGATTGACATAAAATCATGTGATTCATTAAAAAATATAAGTGGTTGAATTTTAAGTAAGAGATTTATAGGGCTTGTTTAACCCCAGGAATCTAATTTGCATCAAATCTACATTTTGCTTTTGTGTTCTGTTGTGGCCATTTATTGCTACTTGTAATTTTTTAATTTTTCATTTTCTAGCAAATACTTTACACTTCAAAATAAATTGCTAATTCAGAGACTGCTATGAAAAATAGAAATTCTTTTGGCTTAAATAAAAAGAGGAACAGATATTTGGCACCAGTATAGAGCATAAATTATACTCTGGTATATTTATCCAAAAGGGTTAAGACCAAGGAAAGAATCTGCTTATTAAAAATGCAAACATTACCTCAGTCATACGAATAGCCCCTAAACTCGCCCAGCTACTGCCTCTGCAGATCACCCACCAGCATTAGCACTACATCACATGACATTATGGAACAATAGCGAACTCTGTGTAATACTTGAATATATTGTTTTGAAAGAATAAACTGTCATTAACTTGAATAAAAAGCTTTCTGAAATCAAACCTGGGGGGTACAGCCCGCCCTGTGTGGCCTTTTTACTACTTTGAGAAATAGCCTCATCCTGAAAGCAGTAAAGGGTGAAAAAAGAGATTAGAGTATAAAGGCAACAGTGATGAGTGGCCCCTCCAGCAGCCCAGCAGGCAGACGGCAGGGCTCTAAATTACCGGGAAGAACAATGTCAAAGCAGGAGGCACCTAAAAATCCAAACAACCCCCCACCCACCACCCTATTTCCTTTTACAGCCTAGTGATCTCTATAATTGGCTTTGCTAGAATTGGAAACAGTCTTATTCCATGTACAAAACATTGAAAAACTCAAATGTCCTGATGCCATCTCGAGATGGGCTATCCCTTCTAGCCATTTGACTTGAGGTAATGCATTCACGCTCTCTGAGCCTCAATGTTTTAATCTATAAAATGGGAAGAATAATAATATCATGCAGAAGTAGAGGAAGGAGGAGAGGGGTTAGCTCCTACTATTATCATAATTATACTTATTATTTCCACCCAACGGTCCCCTTTGCCTGTCTTTTCTAATTACTAAGAGGTTTCTTCTTCACCAGTGAAACACCAGCATTCACTTAAATGCTTGCTGGCTTTTTTTGTTCCCTGCAGTCTGGCCCCGGCCGCGTGCTGCCATTTCTCTTTTCATGCCACCCTCAGCAAGTAATTTCTCCACCTTCCTCAGCCAAATCCCAAATCGCCTCTTCATTGCAACTTGCCCCTCAGCAGCCTTCCTCTCTCTCACACACCTATTCTCAACATTCTCAACGAACAAGGTTCAAAGAGGGAGAAAACAAAAGCCAGGGAGACACAGCCAATGGGTAGCCAAGTCTCAATTTAAATCCAGGTATCACTGCAACCAAGTCCACCTGCATTGCATTAACCGCACTGTGTTAATTATTCACTGTCAGGGTTCCTGGTGATGATTTTAAATCTGATGTTAGTTTCCCTGAACACCAAGCCGATGCTTCCCATACTAGTCAATTCATTATCATAAAATAAGAATTATATTTCCAATGCTTAGAAAAGAAACACTACCCCATGAAATTATTAAATATATTTCAAAATGCTGGGAGTTTTTTGGGTTTTGTTGTTGCTTGTTTTTAGTATTTCCCTAAAGTGAGGATAAATATTGGGTCACATAAAGTCCTCACCCAGGACTAGAAGACTTTGGGAGGACACAGTTAACAGGCAGCAGAGGCATGACCTTGTGTGCCTGTGGGCAGTCCTACATGCACATGTCCGGAAGGGCTGGAGTACAGAACACAAGTGTCTCTCTAAGTTTCTACAGATAAATTACATCTGATTGTCTTTTAATCTGATTGTACAAAGACACATGGAGATGGAAATTTCATTAATGTTGGCTTCTCTGAAGAATCACACTATCCCTCAAAATAATGAAAACTATTAAGATGGGGAACAGGATATAATGTGTTGTTTCAGGTAAGAACCAAAGAGTTTCCCAAAGTCTAACACTGAGGCCTGTGGGAAAAGACTGAAAGCTTGGATTTCCTCACTATAAAGCAGATGAAGTGCTGGGAAGAATGAGATGATACATGGCTCATCAATAAAGCATTATTTGAAAATAAATAAATAAATAAAGCATTATTTGTTTTATTTTTGTTTTTTTAGGTACAGTGCAGAATAGCGTAACTAGTATTTGACATCAGTGATGAAGGTTCAAGTTTGACCTATCTGCCAGCTGTCTGATCCAACACAAATCATTCAAACATATTTAACCATATAAGGATTAAGGGGATGGCATGTGTCTGTGTGTGTGTGGAGGGGGTACCTTCCAATCCATATAGCTATATAAATGTAAGAAGTTTTATATTATATCGTACCAGGTTAAGTAAACCAGGGCCTTATGTTCATTTATATTTCCTATTCTCTTGGAGGAAAAGAGAGACAGAAAGAGGGATTCTTTTTTTTTTTTTTAAGATTTTATTTATTTAAGAGAGAGACAGCGAGAGAAGGAACACAAGCAGGGGGAGTGGGAGAGGGAGAAGCAGGCTTCCCGCGGAGCAGGGAGCCTGATGCAGGGCTCGATCCCAGGGCCCTGGGATCATGACCTGAACCGAAGGCAGACACTTAACAACTGAGCCGCCCAGGCGCCCCAGAAAGAGGGATTCTTATAGGAGAAACCCTGTTCAGTTAATAGAAAATCATTGCCACTACTTAATGGATATGAAAATAACATAAATTAACATAAAACTAAAATATATAATGAAATTATCAGGTGAATAATAAAATTCATATTAAAAGGTAACTGGGTGGGGCACCTGGGTGGCTCAGTCGGTTAAGCGACTGCCTTCGGCTCAGGTCATGATCCTGGAGTCCCGGGATCGAGTCCTGCATCGGACTCCCTGCTCAGTGAGGAGCCTGCTTCTCCCTCTAACCTTCCCCCCTCTCATGTACTCTCTCTCTCTCATTCTCAGTCTCTCAAAATAAATAAATAAATCTTTAAAAAAAAAAAAGGTAACTGGGTGGCAAAGCTGGCTGAGCATCTCTTGATTTTGGCTCAGGTGATGGATCTCAGGATCAAGCCCTGTATCCAGCTCCCCACTCCTTGGGGAATCTGCTTGTCTCCCTCTCTCTCTGCACCCCCCTCCCCCACTCATGCATGTTCACTCACACTCTCTCAAATAAATAAATAAATCTTTAAAAAATACAAATAAAAAAGGTAACTCTACCTCGGTAAACACTGATCAATATATGCTAATCCTCTCAGACATACCCTCTCCTCTCATACAAGATGGTTGTCAGGATTAATTATAAGTGTATCAATGATTATAGAGATTTTCTCTATGTATCTGAACTAGTCAACCCATAGTCCAGACCACAAATAAGAGTGAAAATCTTTTCGAAGAAATATAACAGGTAAAGGCCAGCTCCAACACCATTCATTCATTCATTTACTCAGTCCCTACTTGATACCAGGCTCTATTCCAAGTGCTACAATTCAACAGTAAACAAAACACAGAAAGTTCCTACCATGGTAGAGCTAGCATTCTAACAGGGAAACACAGCCAGTAAACAAGTAAGTAAATTACGTAGCAGATAAATGGTGATTAGCTACCACAGAGAAAAACAGCCAAAAGGGTTTCAATTCTAAACAGGGCAGCTAAGGAAGCTTCACCAAAAAGATGCCATTTAAGCAAAAACCTAAACGAGATGAAGAAGGCACATGGCTATCTGGGAAGAGTAGTGTAGCTATGCAAACCTTTCCAGCAGGTCCAGGTAAGACAAAAACCCAAGTTCTTACCTTTCAAAAGCGGCTGGAAGGTTGGAATCTCTTGCAACTTGATGACATCGGGATCATTGCTGACATTCCGTGAGGGCTGGGAGCCTGGAGCTACAACCACAATATCATCCATCTTGGCTCTATGCTTTGCTGGAGAAGGGGTCACTGAAAATAAAGTTACACTGCTCAAGAGCTGCATGTTAGTCAGCCCGCTCTGCCTTACCAAAGCTGTTTTCGGTACAGTCATTAAAAAAAAATATTTTTACACAAAAAAATGTTAACTGTAGTTATCCTGCAGTGAGGGCTGGAAAAGGGGAGATGAATCATGGGGGACCTCTATTTTCTACTTAAAAAAAACCCTCAAACATTACAGGAACCTATAACATGCATGAAATTGCTTTTGTAATTAAAAATATCTTATTATTCAGCACTCAAAAATATAGGTAGATTGTTTTTAATTTTTATTTCTTTGATCCTCCTGACATTGTCCCTATTTTACCAATGAGAAAATGAGGGTACAAAATATGGCTGTGACCAACCCAAACTCAATAGTGCTAGAAAAACAGTTAGGAAAGGAATTGGAGGTCTTTGGGATATCGGTATATGTGGCCCATCCCTGTGAAACTGAGGTTGCACGCTGTCTAGCCACTTTATCACAGCAAGTCGGGTGTATTTAATACATCTTACTCATGGGCGGAAAAAAATCATGGTTCTTAACCCTCTATGATGGGTCTATTCCTGAGGCACCAGCCCCCTCACCCTTACAGTTACAAGCACTAGTCCAAGAAGGGCAGAAATAAACAGTAGGTCCATTCTAGGCTGAAGCCAAATTCAGCAATTTGTAGGACCGCTAGACAGGCAGGTCAATTTCAGGTCCCTTGAGAGAAAGTAAAGTATTTGTAGGGAACTGATTCAAACTACCAACAACTTCCTAGACCCCTCCTCAAATATCTTCCTGGTTAGGGCAAGAATAAACCTTTAAAGTGGTTTACCCTCTAGAAGGTAATATTTGCAAGCTCATCATAGTCATATCTCAACGGTTGATGCTGGGATGTCACAGAACTGCCCTGCCTCCTGGAGGCTACAGTCTCCCGTGGCTTGGCATTTACTCTTTTAGAAGCTCTGCTACTTTTACTGCTCTTCAAGAAGTACCTCTTAACCTCTTTTGGTAATTTCCCTAACATTTCACAAATCCCAAGCCAGAAATCTTTTCTGCTACAAATTAAGTGATTTCTTCTTCCCCAGACCCCAGCAGAAAACAGATTTCACTGGGTTCTAGATAACCTCTATCACCTTGCCTGTAAAATGGGGCTGTAAGGATTAAATGTAGATGCACGTAAACCGCTTAGCACAGGGGAATCGGCAAAGTCTAACCTATGCTATTAGTTAGTATGCTACAGTACCAGAGTTCGTGCTGTTGGTCGTAGGTGAGCAAGCGTATTAAAAAGATGCTGCACTTCTTCCCCTCAAATATGCTTCTGGACTGACATAGAGGCAAGAAAATAAAGGGTAACAACTCTTACTGTATTTTCTGTAACAAATAAAATATTCTGGGCCTTCCAAGGAAATAGAAGGATGTATAGCAAAGCTAGTAGATGCTGCTCACCATTAAAAGCTGTCCCAATATAGCCCCCCAAATGAGGGTCTGAACTAGTCTTGAAGGACACATTTCATTGCGGAATAACCCTAAATCTGTCAGCTTCTACATTTCTGAATTACAGATCTTACCAGGCAGAGAACAGTTCTACGTATTTAAAGACAGTTGTGGATTCTAAGACTATCTAGCACCTCTCTTTTCCCATCTGTAAAACAGGGTTTAAAAATTCATAATATATACAAATATCGAATCATTAGATTGTACACCTGTAAGTAATAGGTTATATTTAGGCTCCAGATTTAATCCAATTTGGATTAGCAACTCCAGCGTATCCAGAGCAGTCCCAGTCGTCCTAGGGTTTGTGGCTAACCAAAAAAATTAAAAAGGAGCATATGATCCTCAATTAAGCATCAGCTGTTTTATTTACTGAGTGCTTACTATATTCCTAACACAATAATCCTCCCATTCCTATCTGAAACGCTGGGAGAAATCTTAAAAAATCGCAAGCGGGAAGAATAGAGAAAAACACCAGAGCCTACGGTGCTGGCCGACTCCTATACTTTTAGAAAAGGAGTCGAGACACCTTCTCAAGGGAAAATGCAGTTTCTGGAGATGTTTGCACCCAAGGGTTCAAAGCATTCGTACACCTGTCACACATCCCTTCTGAAAAGGAAGCTCCAAGACCCACTTTAAGAAGGAACATGTTCTTAGAGGTCCTGTCTAGGATCCATCCACTGTGTGAGCCAAAGCTCACTGTGTCAGTCATAAGTACTAACGCCAAAAATGAATTAGGTCGTCCCGTAAAGAGGCGCGGTGCTGGGAAAAACAGCTGCTTTGAAAATAAATAATAGGCATGGGCGCACACGCTGGTTTAGCTTGCAGTCACAGGCACTCACTGCCATCAGGGGAATGACGGCTAGGGCAGACGGTGACTTTTTTCTCTTTTTTCAAGAAAAAAAAAAAAAAACATGGTGAGGACTCTCTGTGCGTTCGTGTCCGCGGTCCCAGTCCCCACTAGGCTGGGAGGCAGCCCCCTCCGCAAGCGGACAGGGCCGGCTGGAGGAAGGTGGAAGTTAGGACACCGACCTGAGGAGTTCAGATCGTTGGGTCGGCTCTCGACCTCGGAGCTCTGCTCACTGCCCATGGTGCCGGCAGCGGTGGCAGCGGAAGAACGGCGGGCCAGGCGGTCACCGCTCCGGCGGCGGGACGACCGGGCAGGGGCCGGGGACCGGGGCAGGGAGGCTACACTGAGTGTGGGCGCCGCTACAGGGCCGACCTGAGGAGACTGCGCGCCGGACCCACGCAGGTGCGCGGGCAGCGGGGGATGGGAGGCCCTATTTGGGGAACAGACACGCAAGGAAGCGCAGCCCGGCTGCACGAAGCTCGCCCGCTTTCTTCGGGGGACCCTAAAGGGAGGAGGTGAAGAACGCCCGGCTTCAGCCGCGCCAGCGGCCGGCGGGCGGCGCCCCTTTCACTCACTCGCTCAAGCGCCGCAAGCTCGCTCCTTCCGGGACGCGGATTGGCGGCGCTGACTGCGCGCGGCCGTCAGTTCCGGGTTGGAAAGGCCACCACGCCCCGGCCCGAGGGAGGGCGGGTAGGGTGACTAGGGCGTCGCAGCCTTAAAGGGCCCGACCGCCTCAAAGCCAGAACGGCCCGAAAGAGTAAGGCCTTCCCTAGTATAATGATGGGTCGCCTTTAAGCATCACCCATATTTTGGCACTTTACTGTTAGAACTCTATAAGGGGGGGAGGGATTGTTTGTTTTATTGAGGTATAATTGACATATAACACTTTATTAGCTTCAGGTGTACAGCCTAGTGATTCAGTATTTGTATATACTGCAAAATTTTAAACCCTGTTTACAGATGGAGAAAGAGAGGTCCTAGATAGATTTAGGATTAGAATCCACAACTGTCTGCATGCAAAGCTTCTGTTTCAATTCCGGAAGCTAGGAGTTTGGCAGTGGACAGCCATACAAAAAATATAGATCGTGAAGGAAGGACCTGGAAGTAGAAAGAAAGGAAGAAATAGAAAATGCTGATTCACATGTTACGGTGTGTGTGCATCCTCAGAGGAAAGTGGGTGCCCCAAAACACTTTCTGGGGACCTTGACAGTTATTCACAAGCCATTCCGAAACCAGCAAAGGTGAGGATAGAGTACAAGCAATACAAAATGGAAACCTCCAATTTGGGCAGATCAAGGACAGAGACCTGGCAAAGCAGTGCCACCGAAGAGTTGGGTGGCTTTGGGATTCTCAGAACTTCGCAACTCATTTTATATGATTTCCTTCATGAAATTTCAAGCAATGTCCTAATATTTTATATTTATAAATATAATAGAAGGAATGCCAAATGGACTGTATGATTAAGTCCCTTCCACTCTATAGGCTCATAGACATTTTGCTTATGTTACCTTATTTACTTTTCAAAGCAACCCTGAGGCCCCCAAACAGGTAACTTCTTCATGGTCACCAGGTAGTAAATGGTGGAAACAGGATTTAGGACTGTCTGATTTCAAACTCATGCTCTTTCCTCTCCTCACCATTGCAATACTATGAGAAAATTGCAAAAAATGTTAATTCAGTATTTGGTGGGAATATAAAGAAAGAACTAAAAACTGCCTGAGAGATCAAGTAGGCTCCTAAGAGGTGGTGTTTGACTATAGTCTTGAGGCTTACATAAACCACCAGGGTGATGGGACCATTCCTTCCTGGAGAGCCCCTGGTTCCTCTCCGAGGTCTGCCATCTTTGGGGGTGGGCAAGAAAGTAGGGAAAAGGGGAATACAACACATGTTCTGGCTCTTGTTCTCCCTTTTCCACATCAAAGTATATTTATCTTGTGTTCCATGCCCTAATCCACACTGATGTGATGGTGTTTTTTATGCTTCCCATTGGTTGAACATTTCATTCTAAACTGAACATTGTAAACATTCTCAACTGAAGAAGGAACAAATATATCATCCTATTCTCTCCTGGCCTGCAAGGTCTCTGCTGAGAAATCTTCTCATCACCTTATAGGGGTTCCCTTATATGAGAGAAAATGTGTTTCCCTTACTGTTTTAAAATTTATCTTTGTCTTTGGTTTTAGATAGTTTTAATTGTAACATGTCTTGGAGAAGATTGTTTTGGATTGAAATTCTGGGTTGACCTATTATCTTCATAAACTTGGATATCTGAATTTCTCCCCAGGTTTGGAAGGTTCTCAGCCATTATTTCTTTACATATGCTTTCTGTTCCTTTCTTCCTCTTTTCTGTTTCTGGGACTCCAGTGATATGTACAGCTCCTTAAGTTCCATAGGAACTTTCTTCATTCCTTTTCATTCTTTTTTTCTTTTTGCCCCTCTGATTAGGGGATTTTATTTGATCTGTCTTCTAGTTCATTGATTCCTTCTTCTGTTTGGTCAACTAAGCTCTTGCAGCTCTGTATTAAATTTTTCAATTCAGTCATTGTACTTTTCAGTGCCAGGATTTGATTCTTTTTTATGTTTTCTATATTGTTTTGAACTTCTCATTTTGTTCTTGTATTGTTTCTCTGATACTGTTAAATTGTCTAATCATGTTGTCTCTGAGCATCTTTAGAACAATTATTTTGAATTCTTTGTTGGACAATTCCTGGCTCTCCTTTTCCTTTGGACTAGTTACGGAAGTTCACTGTACTCCTTGGCTAGAGTCATGTATCTCTGATTCTTCATGATCCCTGTACCCTTGGATAGGTGTCTGCACATTTAAAGCAGTCACCTTCCCCAGACTTTATGGATTGACTTTGATAAAGGAAGACTTTCACCTGTGGGTGGGGGCTTGCTAAGAGCATGCTGTGACCCTGGGTCTAGTGGTACACAGCACCAAGTGTTGGGGTGTGTGGCAACTCTGGAAGGGAGAGGGCATGATGTCTCTTTGGCTTAGGCCACTGGGGTCTACAGCTTTGACAACCATGTGTTGAGCACTGCAGGGTGTTTGCAGTGTCTACAAGGGCTGTTGGGGTCCTCAAGCAGCACCTCTAGGTCCAGCACCTAGGAACCTTGGGCTGGTAGCTGAAGGGGCGTTGGTGATATGCACTTGGCTGTGGGCCGCCAGCTGCAGACATACATGGAGTAGTGGAAGCCAGGGCAGGCAGCAAGGGCCAGTGTCATCTCCATGCTCAGTGGCAGCTGCAGGGACTTTGGCTGTCAGCATGCACTAACATGGCTGCTAGATCTTGTCAGGCACAAGGCAGTGGAGACCAATGACCAGGGGTGGGGCTAGGGGTATGCAGGTGCACGGCTAGAGGGCCCAGCTGCAGGTAAGCATAGTGACACAGGCCATGACAGTGATGCAGACCCACAAGCAGCTGCAAAGGCAGTAGCTGTCACTGCGCTCTCCTGTGGTTGCACTGTCTCCCTTCAGGCATGGGCACCGTAGTGGAGGCTGGTTATGGGTATCAGGCAGGTGGTGTGCAAGTGTACAGCTGGAGGGACTAGCCCTGAGTGCACACACATGCAGTGGAGATTGGCCACGGGGCTCTAGGCTGGCGTCTTGCACTTGCACAGCTGCAGAGGCCTGGGCTGGCTGCCACTGTGGTTCCTGGCCTGGGCTAAGGGTAGGAAGGAGCAGGGAGGAGGTCAGGTGACTGATGTCAGTGAACACAAATGCCTGTGAGACAGAAGCTGGTAAGCTCTGCAAGGGGGTCCATGGCAATTGTGCTTTGCTATTGCTGTTCTCAGGGGTAAATGCTGCTCGGTTTGGCTACAGAACATGTCACTGTGAACCATAATTGCTCCCATTGCATGGCACCAAGGAAGACCTTGTTCCTAGCAGTCTCTGTTTGTCTATATGTCTCAGCTTTGCCAGCTTTGAGACTGAGGCAGGACCTTTGTGCACTCTCCTGGAAGTCTGGGGAAGCTGGTCACTCACTCTGCTCTTCCTTGCCTGGCAAGGAGAACTCTTTCTAGCTGGGAGGTTTCCTCCTGGTGCTGAGCAATCCTGGTTTGGAGGATGGGATGATACAGTCAAGATGAAAGTAAAAACACTCTCAAGATTTTTTGTTGTACTGCATTGCTGATGTTTCTTAAGTGGGCTCCAGAACTCTCCCAGAGCTGTTTTTGTCTGTGGGTAACTGTCTAATTGTTGATCTTTTTGTGGGGACAGAGGCTGAGATCTCCTATATCACCACCTTTTTTTCCACTGAGTAGTTAAATAAAATGTGGTATATCCATATAGTAGAATATTATTTGCCTACCACCAAGGAATGAAGTACTAAAACATGCTACAACAGAGATAAGCCCTAAAAACATTATTCTACTGGAAAAGATCCCATCACAAAAGATCACATATTATAGATTCCATTTATATGAAATATCCAGAAGAGGCACTATAGGACACAAAAATAGTTTAGTGGTTGCCTAAAGCTGAGGAGGAGGGGTGTGAAGGGGGAAAGAGGGAGTCACTAACTGTTAATGGGTATAGGGGTTTCTTTCTGGGAGTGATGAAAGTGTTCAAAATTTATTATTGTGGTGGTTGTACAACTTTGTGAATATATTAAGAACCACTGAATTGTACCATTTATTTTCTTAAGATTTTATTTATCTGAGAGAGAGAGTGTGAGCACAAGCAGGGGGGAGGGGCAGAAGGAGAGGGAGAAGCAGACTCCCCACTGAGCAGGAATGGGGCTCCATTCCAGGACCCTGAGATCATGGCCTGAGCCCAAGGCAGACACTTAACTGACTGAGCCACCCAAGAGCCCCTAAATTGTACAATTTAATTAGGTGAATTGTATGGTATATGAATAATATCTCAATAAAGCTGTTACCAGAGAAAGGATATAGAAATACAAAAGATCTTCACTCCTTGAGTCAACATTTTATTGGTAGCCTATAATGTGCCAGGCATTTCCTAGAGGCTAGGAATAAATGATCCAATAAGATCCCGTCCCTATCCTTAGGAAGCTTACAGTCTGGTAGTGAGAAAATTAATTAGGCATTTATAATTAAGGATTCTGAGGGAGGGGCTTTAGAGGTAGAAGACATTTGGAACCAATGCCTTTTTGCACCTTTAAAATCATTTCCACATGAACAGCAACCTATGTGACTTATATACGCAATTGAACAGTCTTTTTGGGTTTATAAAGCACTTTCATAATGATGAGGGAAACAAAAGCAAGAGAAATGTGGCTTAAATTAAATCTCCTTACAGTTTGG